GTTTTGGTTCGCTATGGCCCGTACTAAGCAGACTGCCCGTAAGTCGACCGGCGGCAAGGCCCCGAGGAAGCAGCTGGCCACCAAGGCGGCCCGCAAGAGCGCGCCGGCCACGGGCGGGGTGAAGAAGCCGCACCGCTACCGTCCGGGCACCGTGGCCCTGCGCGAGATCAGGCGCTACCAAAAGTCCACGGAGCTGCTGATCCGCAAGCTGCCGTTCCAGCGGCTGGTGCGCGAGATCACGCAGGACTTTAAGACGGACCTGCGCTTCCAGAGCTCGGCCGTGATGGCGCTGCAGGAGGCCAGCGAGGCCTACCTGGTGGGGCTGTTCGAAGACACGAACCTGTGCGCCATCCACGCCAAGCGCGTGACCATCATGCCCAAGGACATCCAGCTGGCCCGCCGCATCCGCGGGGAGCGGGCTTAAGTGCGCGCTCGGGTCGGAGGTTCCATCATATCCAAAAGGCTCTTTTCAGAGCCACCCACAGCAGCACTTGGAAGAGGCTGTACCGCTTGCCCTTCGTGCTCCTCCGGCATTAAGGGCGGGGAGAGATTTTCCAGCTAGGTTCCCAAAGAAAGAAACAGTCTGTTTCCCTGGCTGCGGTGCCATCTTGAGCTTTGCTAGCAAACCTAGGTCAGCTATCCTGGCCGGACTGCGGCCGTTTTCCCGGGCGCCGGCGTCGTGCTTTGGCTGCCCGGCTCTTCCCGCGCTTGACACGGACTCAGCGTTGGATGGGTAGCGGGGAAAGGAGAGGCTTCTCGGGCCCGAGTCCAGGGAACTCTCAGGAAGAGCACCTGGCCTTTGCGGAGGTGGAGTGCTATATGACCGCGCTTCACGCCCAAACCCACCTCACCCGTTGGGCGCTGCTGTCTGACTACGGAAGGAAATCCCCACCTCGGCCTTCCCGGGTTTCTGCTAGCAAATGTGCGGAGAACTGCGCTGGGACTGCCGGTCGGGTGTCGGTGATACAGTGTGTGTGTGTGTGTGTGTCTCTGTGTGAAATGGTCTCAATCAATCTGGAATGCAGTAACACAATCAAAACTCACTGCAGTTTTGGACTCGGCTCAGCGATTCTCCCACCTAAGCCGTCTGAGTAGCTGGGACTACAGGCATACATTACCATGACTCCGTTAGTTTTTGTTTGTTTTTTGTAGAGACAAGGTCTCACTTGCCCGGGCTAGTCTCCAAGTCCTGGGCTCAGGCCATCCTCTGGCCTTGGCCTCCCAAAATGCAGGGATTATAGATGTGAGCCACTGTGCCTGGCTACACCAATGTTTCTGCCTGGCAGATGGGTCCCTCTGGATGGATACTAGGCACTTCAAACCCAGCTTATTTCCAGAAACTCATGCATCATCTCACTTTCCAAACTGATTTGTTTCTTTCTACATTCTTCATCTTCATGGAACACACCTTCATTACCTCCATCTCTACTGGTCAGGTGTCCTTTCTTCTCATCCTCTGTCCAAATCCCCTGAGTTCCAAATGTTACTAAATCTACCTTCTGATTTTCAATTGTATCACCTTTTCTCCATCCTCCCATGACCATACCTCAATGGAAGCCCTCACCAGCTCTGGTCTAGTAGGTTAGATAGTCAGGCTGGTCTTTCTGCCCTGCCACTGAGCTTCCACTCTATGAGAGCTATCTTTAAAAAAATGAGGGTTTTGTTTTTGTTTGCTTTTTGTTGTTTTGAGCCTCTCACTTTCATGCTTAAAATTTTTCTACGACCTTCCCATTCCCTTCAGGATGAAGTTAACATTCCTTTGCATGGCAATTCCGTCTGTAAAATGGGGTAGCAGTAACTTGCTCATAGTTTTATTGGAAATAGTAAAAGTGACAATTTCTGTAAAGTACCTAGCACAAGCCATGTGCAGTGGCTCATGCCTATAATCCCGTTGACTCAGGAGGCTGAGGCAAGAGGACTGCTAGAGGCCAGGAGTCTGAGGCTATGGTGAGCTGTGACCCTGTTAACACACTTCAGCCTCAGTGACAGCAGTGAGACCCCATGTCTTTAAAAAAAAAAGACCTTGCACAGTATTTGGTCCAGAATAAGCACCCCATTAATTTTTGCTACTCTATTAGCAGTTACTAATTTAGAAAAACTCAAAGTATCACACATCTAGTTCCTCATGTTTCCCAAAGCCTTCTCAGGTTTCAGATGTTTTTGCAGCTGAACAAGAATGTTCTAGCCCCATACGGCATCTGCAATCTCCAAGCATACAATATCTTCACACGTTCTGTTTCTGTCCAGAATGTCTTCCCATTCTTCAAGAGTCAGCCCTGTGAGCTTCCCTTGCTCTTCTTTGCCCTCATCTCTTTGGGCCCTCCTTGCTTCTGCCCTCTCATATCCTAATACCCCTTCCCTTCCTTACCTGGTCACCTTAAGTACACTGAAACCGGGTCTCAAAAGAAAAAAAAACACACGAAAACTACATTGAGTGGGAAACGGGATAAATACATCACCTTTGGTTTCTATATCACTTCATGGCCTCATTTTTTTTCACATAGAACTTTTCATTTGATCCCTAAAATGATCCTGTGACAAAGGCAGGAATGTTCAGTAATGGGCCAGGTACAGTGGCTCATGCCTGTAATCCCATCACTTTGGGAGGCCAAGGCAGGCTGATCACATGAGGTCAGGAGTGCGAGACAAGCCTAGCCAATGTAGTGAAACCTGGTCTCTACTAAAAATATACAAACTAGCTGGGCTCGGCTAGCTAGGTGGTGGTCACCTGTAATTCCAGCTACTTGGGAGGCTGAGGCAGGAGAATCACTTGAACCCAGGAGGCAGAAGTTGCAGTCAGCTGAGATGGCACCATTATACTCCAGCCTGGGTGACAACAGCAAGATTCCATCTTGAAAAAATAAAATTCTCAGTAACACTAAAGATGTGAAAATTTAACTTTGACAAAGGTAGGATTTCTCATGGTTTGTATACTTCAGATTACCTACCTACCTAACTTCTGATCATTTGGGGAAAATTATATTCACGCTTATTTTAAGAAAAGCAAATTATTAGAAACGTTCAATGAAGATAAACACTTATAAATCATTCTTAAATTTTTGTGAGCATTTTCCCTGACAATTATCTATATATTTATATGTATTTATGTGTACTAGTAACATTCTGCATAAATTTCAGTTCACTTCCTTTGGCTCTAGCAAGGAACTAACATGTACATCACTGGCTAGAGTATGAAGTACAGAGTAAGAGGTTACAATGAGAATAAGAATGTAGTAAAAGATGAGCTAGTCAGAGAGGTAAGGAGCGGGTAAAGGGATGAAGGACTTCAAATCGGTCCATGGTGAAGTCTGATTAGCCAGTGGGACATGCAAGTACCTCTGTGACCGTGGTAATGAGAGTAGACCCACAGACTGGACTTTATAATCATTTGTATATATCTGAGTGGAAGTCCTGAATCCATCTAGGGAGGGAAGGAGGTGGCAGCCAGAAGCTGGCTCATGGAGAGCACCTGGGCTACCGAAGGATTGAAATGGGAAGGAAAGTATTTTGGGAGCAAATCAAAGATAGAAATTATATGCCTAGCTGTTATCGATGGCTACAAATAGCATTATATCCTTCACTGTTACAGATGGTTCAAAGAAAGGGGCTTTTATTAATGTAAAACCATACATAGCTGCGTTTCTGTGACTTGGCAATGTTCAGGGGCTGACAGCTGATAGAGGATTTAGCCATGTCTATACCATAATAGTATGTGGTGGACTTGGCATGGTGGGAGCAAGGGCGAGTACTAACGTCACTATAAAGAAGATGTATACAATGACGTGCAATGGTAAAGGACAAGATATTGGAGAAATCTTGGAAGAAAAAGAAAACACATCCATTAATTACAAACTTAAGTACTATTAGAAGTACAAACTGCTATTTAGTAAAACAAGCTGGCTATGTTTTTCATTCATACATCTTTTCTGTTCGCCCCAAATTCTTTGAAGAAACAAAGACTGATTTACCTTATCCCATCTATGTTTTTTGCTACAAGAAATGTATCAGGATCAAATGTATGGTTTCTTTTCCATTAAAGAAAGCAAATTTTATACATTTGGGAAACATCTGGGCAACATATGTTCAGATTCTAAATACCTTTTCATTAAAACAAAAACTGTTTAAAAGAAGAGAGAGAAAAGAGGCCGGGTGCAGTGATCCCAGCACTTTAGGAGGCTAAGGCGGGTGGATCACCTGAGATCAGGAGTTCGACACCAGCATGACCAACGTGACAAAACTTCACCTCTACTAAACCTACAAAAATTAGCCCAGCATAGTGGTGGCACCTGTAATCCCAGCTACTTGGGATGGTGAGGCTGGAAAATCGCTTGAACCCAGGAGGTGGAGGTTGCAGTGAGCTAAGATTGCACCATTGCACTCCAGCCTGGGTGACAGAGTGAGACTGTCTCAAAAAAAAAAAAAAAAAAAAAAAAAAAAGAAGAGCTGTTATCTACATCAGTGGTTTTCAAACTTTAATGTGTATCAGAATCACCTGGAGGGCTTTTTAAAGTACCAATTACACGGTCTCATCCCTCAGTGTCTCATTCAGTGGGGCCCAAGATTTTTTATCCCAGGTGATCAATACTGCTAGATGAGAGGCTACACTTTGAGAACACTGGATGTGTTTTCCATTGTTGGATGGATGAGAGGCTACACTAATTCAAATAATGGATGTTTTCCACCCCACTCCCTTTTTTCTTTTATTTCTCTAAAAATTTTATCTCCTTTAGTGGATCTTGGTGAGGATCAGATATATTCATCAGCATTGCCTTTAAAGGTCAAAAAAAAAAAAAAAACAGTGATATTTAAAATAGCAATGCTGGAAAGTACAGGTCAGATTTTAAAGGGAAAAAGGAAACATCCGGAGCATTAAAACCTCTATTTCTTACCTGGACAGCTTCACAAATGTTATTCTTGCCACTTCCTCCCTGCCCCTGTCCCCTTTACTATGTAGCTTATATCTCATAACGGGCCTTTTTGTTGAAAGCAGAAAATGATACTTTTCAGACAATGGGTAGATAACTGGCCAGTAGGATAGCAAGCATTCTGCTCTTTATTCAGAGACGGACACAAACCCCCACATCCATGGACAAGTTCTCCCTCGTTTCCCAGCAGCCAGGGACATCTGTAGCATTTCGGCTCCTATAGGATTGTCTAAATTACTCATCATATTGAACATGTACGGCCTCTTACCCTTGGATTTGCCATTTGTTCTTAAATGTGTACTGGTATGGATTTATGTCACCTACATATTATGCATTTATTTCTCTTCTCCATTCTAATGCTAAGCTCCTGGAGGGCAAGTCTCGCATCTGCTGCTTAGCTGGCAACCCGATTGCCAAGTACCATGTTTTAAGCCTGGTTCATTCTCAATTGTTTGATGCTGATGAGAGCAGCCACGTCTGAAGACCAATAAAGCAACTACTGGTTTGTCATTTGGGAGCTGACAGAATTTGTTCTCTCAAATACATACACTGACCAATTTTGCTGTAAAATCATAGGCCTAGAATGCAAATAATAATGAATTAAATAAATAAATAAACTTACGGGCAATGCGATGGCTGCAAAACTATAAATTTAGGGATTAGAAATGTGAACCCGCCTTTCAATCCAAATTAGGGCAACCTAGAGGTGGTAGTGCAGAATTGCAGAGAACAGCTTTCTGTGAGCTAGGCCATGCTGATATAGAGTAATTGTCTTTTGCCTTGTCAAGATTGAATTGTGCTTTCTGTATTTATGGTGGGCACGTTTCTGCAGGCCTCTCAGTCTAAACTACAGCAGGCCCTAAGAGGTAGAAGTCACATACCTGGATGGCCTGTTTCTTGAAGTTGTTTGGAGATCATTTCGTTGAGTCACTTTTATAGAAGGATCACATTAAAATGTTCCTGCATCTATATCCTTGCAATACCACAAGTGAGACAGTCATCTCACAGGTCCTTGATTAAGTTAAGGGGCCTTTTTATTGAACATAGGAAATGATACTTTTCAGGCACTGGGCACTAACTTGCCAGAAACACGTCTTTCAACTGTACTAAGATTGATAATTAGATCTGGTTCTGCAAACTCACGCTTTTATTTGAAGTGAGTTGAGTGCGTGTCTTAAGACACCATATAACATGAATGGACCCTTACACTAAGGCACGTAGTCCGCCCGCTGGTTAGGTAGAGGGGAAAATGAAGGCCAAAAAGGTTAATTGACGAAACCTGAACGTATCAGGTGAGAGCCGGCATCTCTGTACTGAAGATCTAAGGCAGCTTTCCCCACTTTGCCTGAGCGAATAG